CGCGGCATCTCCCCCCGCCCCGCGCCTCGGAGCAGCCGCGGGGAAATGCAGGCACTTAGTCATTTAGAGGAATTTTTCACTTATCTCAAGCAACAGTGTAATTGTCTAACTACCACCTACAAAACAAAAAACACCTTTATAGCCCTTCCTGAATTGTCAACATACACATATATATTACTCTGGCATAAAGCAAGGCCCCAGGGGGCTTTCAGCATCCCGCCCTGCCTCCTCTTCTTCCCCTGCCAGATGTGCTGCCTCCTCTGCCCTCAGCAGGTGAAGCAGCCGGGGCAGCCTCAGGCAGCAGCCCACTGCCGGGGACGTGCTGGATGGCGGCATGGGGGGCTTGGGAGGGAGGAGGCGGCGGGGCAGGGACCCCGGGCTTGGTGGAGAGCTCTGGGGGGTCGTGCCGTGCCAGGCAGCAGCCTCGAGGGACACGGGAAGGTGGCTGGGGGCTCCTCTGCCATCCCCGGCACTGGGTGCTGCAGGCAGGGGCTGCAGAGCTGCGCCTGTGGGGAGCAGGGCTCAGCCCTGGGGACGGGCTCACCCCTGGGGACGGAGCAGGGCTTGGCCCACAATTACTGCCCCAAACTGGGGCCTCCCCCTCAGCAGCCAGGGCTGCGATGGGGGAAGCACACAGAGACGAGGGCTCTGAGCAGCAGGATGCAACCCACAGCCTGCCGAGGGAGGACCGGAGAGCCGCCGAGCCCCGGGCAGCGAATTGGGACGGACCGACACCTGTTTTTTTTGCACCAAACAGCAGCAGGGCCCAGGCTGCGGGTTGGCACAGCCAGGCAGACCCCGGCCTCCGGCTGGGGCGAGTGTGGCCTCGGGGCAGGGAGGATGCTGCCTGCATGGCCTTTCCCTGGCTGAGCCTCCTCCATCCCCGCCTGCATCCCCTCGGCTCTCAGGGAGGGCGCAGAGCCCAGCACCCGGCCTGAGGGCATGCCTGCTTCAGGGGGTTGGAGCCAGGAGAGGGGAAGGACATTTTCAGGCTCCTGCCACCCATGCACAGCCTGCCTGTCCTCAGCCAAGGAGAGCCCCGCTGTGCCCAGCTCCCTCCCTCCGGCCCTGCCAAACCAGGACATGGGGACAGGCCCCGCATGCGGGAGCCGCCTCCTCTTTGTGTGGACATGGTGGCTGGACCCGGCTCTGCACCAACACCCCTCAGGGACGGCCCTTCCCTCGGTGCTCCTCCATCACCAGGGTCCCTGCTCCTCACCCCACCGAGCCCCCCGGGGCACATCTGGGTTCAGAGGAGCTGCCTCCGGCCCTGCTCCCCTGGGCAGGTCCAGGGGCCTGGAGAGTAAAGACGGGGGCAGCCGTGGGCTCCTCCGCCCCAGAGCAGCCCCCCCCAGCATCCAACCCCCCAACGTGTACAGACACCGGTCCTGCTCTGGCAGCTGCCGACCCAGTGCATGCCTCCAGCAGTGCCATGCCCGGCCAGGCAGAGCAGCTGGGTGGGCAACCCCATCCCACTGTAGAAACCCAGCAGGCCACAGCCGCCTCCGGTGCAAGTGGGAAGCAGGTCAAGGGCACGCTGCTGGCAGAGCTCCTGGATGCACAAGTACCGGCAAGGGCAGAGCCCTCCCTTGTGAGGGCATTTTACTTGCTCTTGCTTATCAAGAGCGCACAAACAGGGATTCCCCCTCCTGACCGTCATAGTGACGGGGGCTGGGGTGTAGAAAAGTGACTCATAGAAATGAGGAGAAAACCACTGCGACGTTCGCGAGGCAGCTCACCCGAACACTCACACCTGAGTCACCCGGAGAGGCGAGCAGGGAGCGCGCTGCCTCCTCGGGG